ATTAATACAGAAGAAATCATGATCATGATAATTACTTAGGCTGTTCCTCGAAGACAAACCGTCCAACATAGCTCGTCGACATCGTGTGGTGTTTCATAATGATAAAAATAATATTACGTAACTATCATTTGGTATTAGTGGAATTAGTTTGCTCCACACACTATAATCCCAACTTCTCGAGTTCTTGTGGACTACAACTTGGTGTTTTGGAATCAATTGGTTTTTTATATGACGTCGGTTCAAATATTTGAATTCTTCATAACTCCTCCGTTTACAAGTATGATGGATCGATACAGAATTCAAATACATACATTAATTTTCGTTCTAATCGTATATATTTTTGAGAGGAGTCAGACGCTTGTACTATCTTAAGCATGTGCGGTAGTAATTACCTTAATTATCGGCATGTCAATTACCTATATATCAATTGCATTAGACATGCACGAGTAATATTTTCTGGCATATAAGGTCAAATTTATGGCCTAGAATTGTAAGATGGCTTTTCATAATCAAGTTGTTAAATCATATATGAGTTCTTTGGTTACTAAAAGCCACATCAACAAGCACCATATAATCGTTTTGTCGACTCATACCAAGAGGAAAAAGAAGACCCAATAAGCTTTGAACAAAATGAAAAAAAGGAAAACAACTATATATATGTTAACTTATTTCCAAAGTCTTAATCGACGACGTCAAATTCAATTAGGTTATATGGGACCATATGTAGACGACATGGACAAGTTATATTGATGTGTTTTGTGGACAGAATCTGGCCTGATTGAATTCTGATGGATGGTGGATGTGTCTTAGAAAACGAGAGGAAATTAGAGTGTGTTGGAAGTCGGGAGATGAATTTACAACATGAGTAAATGTAAGGATCGAAGAAGTATCGTGAAGATATATATTTTTTCTCGTCATGAAGAACCTAACTGATATGAAGTAGAATCTATTGTAGAAGGATATATTTTTTTCTCGTTATGATTGTATGATGAAAGGTTTAGAAATGAAACTTATGATACAAATGACTTATGAAATCGTATTAATCAAAGACGGAGACGCACAAGATGCATGTGTTACCTCCTTCGTGTATAAAAGTGCAAACGGAATGTTCAAATGGACTAGCGCCTATCTTGTTACCTGAAATCCAACGAAAAAACAAGTGATATTCTTGAGCAAGCAGCATATCGAAACAGATAGCATGTAGGAGAGGTTTCGTGAAACTCTATAGAACTTGAAAGCCAATGGGCTCGTGCCAAGCTTTGAAGAGATCAAAACAATGACTTGTAAGGATAGTCCAAAAATCGCCAACCTTCTAAACTAAGCCCTCCACACCTCCCTGTTGTGTGTGTACTAGCAATGAAAGAACATGTGAGGAAAATGACACTAATTACTAGCTAGACTGATTCTCATACCTTGATTTATGATTGATGAATTGGTAGAAATGGTGTAATTTATATGTCCTTTCAATCACAAAGAGCATTTTGAGAGAATTCGAAATTGATATTGTAGGTAGGGTAACTAAGCAAAGCGAGGGGAGAAGAGCAGGGGTGGCTATACGGTCCGATCTGGTTAAACTGGCCCGAATTGATCTGGTCACAGTCCGGTCTTTTCGGGAATATAAGGACCAAAGATTGGATTGGCTACAGTCCGGTCTTGACACGGTCCGCTACCAATTCGGTTTTGATTTTAGATTGGGCTTGTGGGAATTTGAGTGGCCTGAGGCCTTAAAGGATGAGAAGTTGGTTAAGTTTTGGGCTCTCTTATCCGATCTTTATCCGGTTTTCGGTCCGGTCCCGAACGATTTTTTTTTACCTCAAATCTAAGCCCGAATATGAGATTGGATTGTTTACTATCCGGTCCCGGTCCGGTCTTAGGCCAGGTTATACAGTCCGATTTCGAGTAAAACCAAAAAAGCCGGACTAAATAACCAACCCTAAAGAAGACAAGGAAAAAGCTTATAGTGATAACTCAAACCCAACTCATGATTTTATGTCATAGTAAAAATCAAACAGTGATGTTGATGTCAAATTGTCAATCCACTAAAGGATGGATTGGCATAACTAGACCTAATTTTGACCAAGCCAAAGAAGCCCAATTGCTTTATTAACAATAACCATTGACCCAATGCATCATCACTCAAGTAAATATATAACTAATAAGTATGATTAAATAATCAAGTCACTTAAAATATCTACCCTATCATGTATATTTAATAAGAATTTGGAGGGTCCATACAAATTAACGAGAGCCACGAATTTGATACTAATGAGATCAAAGAAAAAAAGCCAGCGGAGTGTACAATGTGGAATATAGTAAACAAAGTTGGTTTAGGGCATGATTTTGTTTTCTAATGATTTGATTAACAATGAGGATTGGTGATTAATCAAAGTTATTAGTTACTCAAATTACTATAGTATCCTGACTTTGTCCTAGGCTTTTTGGTGAGATGTTTGTTTCATATAATATTCCCATAAATGCTGCAAAGAAAGTTTTTGGGATTGATAGACTAAATGATTGAGCTAACTTACCCTTTTGAACATGTCCCTTTAGCTATTACATTTGGAGTTAGGTTTGGTTGACTATCACTCAGTTAGCAAATAACTCGAATGGTTGGAAGCAAAGAGGTCTAAGAGTAGAACTAATCGATACATTTGCTTATACATCCAATAAACTTTTTTATTTATGAGATCTTAAAATTTGCACACGAATCCACCATACACTGTTTTCAGTTAATTCAATTCTTTATGTTAGGGTTTGTCAATATTCCAAAATGAGAACTAAATTTGATGCTCAGATACTATGCAAAATAGTACGAGTGTCGGAAGAGATCAATCAAACGTGCATAATAACTTATATGATTTGTCCGATGATTGATTTACGTCCACAAAAGAGAGAGAACTTCCCAGATGAGCACTTATGTGACATACATTCGTAACTAGCAAAAAAATAAAAATATTATTGAGGGAGAAAAATAATTATACGTAAGTCTGGGATGGAAACAAAAGAACAACACTCAATGCATATGGGAATGGAACATGCAAGAATACTGAAGATTATGAAAGATTCAAATCAAGAGGTTGCATGATTCCTATTGGGACATCTGTTTTTTTTTCAATCTATATGTTTGCTTGTGGAAATTAAATTTCTATTTGATATTGATATTCCTTTCTTCTTCCTCTTTCATGGAATTTTTGGACCAACGAGATTCAGACGCGTCCTATCCTTCGTTTATAAGCGACGGTACAATAATATCAGTAAGTAATCATGTATATGTGGTTAGTATCACAATAAAGAGAAGAAAAAAAAAAAGGAGAAATGCAACCTTGCAGCTACATTTTGGATATGTTAGTATGATAATATTTCGTCAAAATCATGTCATCTTTTCGATAAGTATGTGAAATAAGTGACAGACGACTCTCTCTATCCACTGCTTTGATGCAACCAAACGGTACAAAGAAATTCTACAAACCGACTCTTCGAAGTTCAACATCCCAAGCTAACATAAAAACCCTTATAAATAATTTCCTAACTTAGATAAGGTGATCTTTTTTTGAAAAATATATGAACTAGTGACAGACGACTCTCTCTATCCACTGGTTTGACACAACTTAACCAAATGGTGCAAAAATAATTCAACCTACAAACCGACTCTCCGAAGCTCGACATCCCAAGCTAAACAGAAACCCTCCACCACACCACCTCTTAGCTAGGATATGATTTATTTTTATTAATTAGTTTTTTGAAGTATCATGATTTTTCCCTATTAAAATGAGATTTTACATAAAATGATTTGAGGCCAAGAAGAAATATTGAGGGTGAAAAATTGACTAGTGCCCATATTCTGGTTGATGGAAAACTGTCCAGATGACAAGTGTAAATATTGGTACAACAATAATGTATGCCTTATCTTTCTATATTTAGTACTAATAAAATAACAATATAAAATGTTCTGGTTCACCCAATATTTTCATAAATTTGTTTTTTTTTTCAATTATAAATTCAGATTCCCTTTTATTCTCTGTGCTGTCTCACTCTCAAGCCTCACCCAACAAGTAGCCAGAGAAGTCTTGCTGTTAACTACTCAATGAGTCAAATATATAAACATGACATGAACGACAAAGATGTTTAACTGTTGCATGCCGGTTTGTGGTTTGCTTTCATAGGAAACCCAAAAGAGCCACCTTAATTAAGAACTAATCACACATTCATAAAAAAAATAAAAAAAACTAATCACATTTAACAAAGAGTAGATGCCATCAAGTATCCCATTTCAATTTTGAATTTATCTTAGCAACAAACTTAATGGAGCATATATGAAGATATTATCAGCCGCTGATCGACATTATGCAGAAAGTTCCAACATAATGTCAAGTTGAATCTGTCGAAAATTTGAGTTCGATAAGATAGTTCTGCATTTGACTCTATTATAACGCGTTCATGCCAATTCAAGATGTCTCGTGCACACTACAATATAATATAATGAAATCTCTTAGAACTAAACTAACCCAATGATTACGGGCTAATTGCATGTGCCCCATAATCAGGGAAAATGGCGCTTTCGTTTCCATAACTTGTCTTGATCTTGAAAGTTGCCATGTTCTCTCTGAAAGATCACCTTCCATGGCCAAATTTCCAAGGAATCTGCCACTCATCCTCTTGTAACCACACATGGGGAAATAGATAGAACAAAAGAAGTTGAGTTGGCTGAGAATTTCCCCCCTAAGGATTGTATAAGAGGGCCATGGGACAACTAATTTTAGGTACCCAAAAAATGGAGAATTCTAACATGAAATTGCCTAACCAAGTTGCATGTGACCAACCTAACCAATTGGTTGGATCAATTGCTCACCTCAACATTTCCCCATCTCATGCTTGTCTCTTAATTGGAAGAACAAACATAATAATCCTTATTGATAAAATAAAAAAAAAAAGTGATTTGAAATTTCATCTATGTCTTGCTGACATCTCTTCGTACTTGTTTTGTCCATTTAATAGTCTAATCTTTTGATTGTATCGTGCCACATGCAATCAATGTAGAATAACAAGTTAGACATGCTTAACAACAAGAGAAAAGCTGAGTTTGACATTCACAAACTCTTATATGAAACACGATGAAATGATTACTGCGAAGGGACTCGAGAACAAAATCTCTTCTAACATGAAATGTTAACTTGTAGTTGCACATGAAAATGCAGTTAATCTTGACACTTTAAATATCAAATCTAGTCTCTCGACGATTCCCATCTAGTCTCTCGATGATTCGCACCATGAGCTGGACACACGCACACAGAGAAGACAGGGGGGAGAACACAGTCGCTAAACGGGCTGGCATTTCCAGGCCTCAGTAACTCTCTCCCGCTAATGACTCCCCTACGGATCAATGCCGGCCCACAAATCACAGTGTCCTCGAGCCCGTATCTTCTTATTGGGCTTTCTAGAAAGCCCCGAGCACGGTCAGGCAACAAAGGTTCTTCTCTGTAATCCCCAACGAAGAAAGGAAGCTGCTATGTACATCTCCAATGAAGCTATAAGCCGAATTCCAATTAGAGGTTTCTAAAACCGGAAAGAAAACTTTTGGATCAGAGGGTTAAAAGCGCTAAGCATCAGGATCTTTGACCTTAGCTTCCGACTTGGGGGGTTCATTGCTCTTCACGGGGAAATTCTCCTCCGGCAGCCTCTGCCAAAGGTAGTTAGCCCCCTCGATCCACCGCGGGAGGACCAAGAACTTGTCGTTCTCCAGCGCCCAGCGCGACTTCTTCGTACCGGGATCCATGGCAACTACGTGGGTAACGGATGGATCGACCTCTGTGGCGCACGTAGCTCCGAGCTTCTCCGCCATCTTCCAGAGATGGTGGCTCTCGGCTGGGAACTGGGATGGGAAGACACGGCTGAACACGATCCTGCACCCCTTTAGAATGTCTTTCCGAACAGTTTTCAGGACCTGTCTCACATCCCGTCGACCGGTTTGGTCGGCCAATTCCTGCAACGACCCAAAAGGCAGTTTATACTTGAGTTGCACGAACTAGGGTGAACACGTAGTACAAGGAACATTCAAAGAAAAATACTAGGAGACAACATACGTTGAAGAAGATATGGTGAACTCTCCTCAAGACGTTAAGAACAGCCGCAAGTGCCCCTTCGGGTTCACTCTCGTCGCTTTTCAGCTGAGAGAGGGAATTGCATCCGAACCCAAATTGTCGACAGCTCGACGCGAAGAAATGGTATCTTTCCATCAGTATCAAGTTGTCTCGATGGCTTGGCCACACCTATATCACACAAAAACTCCTCGTAAGAATATCAAACACACTTCATTTGTTTGAGATAATCATTCAAACTTGTGTCGGAAATGTAAATAATATTCTGCGGCGGATACACTCACATTTTCGGTATCGTCGAGAATCAGAACGGCACTTTCTTCTCCCAGTACCATATCGAGACTCTTCTGATGCCTCTGAGCGCCATCATCCCGAGAAATTACCTTGGCGTGGAAGTATTCATTTTTCGGGTCAAGTAATTTGGCCATTTCCAGTGCATACGCTTTGTCTCCCATAGTGTATATATACATCTCAAACATCTGGCTAGCTTCCTTCAAAAAAGTGTGCACATAGGGCCTAAGCTTGGTCATCATGTGCATGAAGCTCAACCTAAATAGGCTTCCATTTTGACAGTCTGTGAAATGAAAATACACAACATCAATAAAATGCAATAAAGCTGGCTAAATAAACAGGAAATTGGCAATGAGTACATAGCAAAATATTAATCAAATTAGAAGATGAGATCATTTACAAACAAATACAAGGCGGATAACGAGAGGATTAGGAGCACAAAACACCATTAATATCGAATCTGCTTCTTCCTCTTCCCAGGAATGAAGAATTTTTAAAATACAAGAAGCAAGCGGCCCTTAGAGCTTACCTTGTACAGAGTCTATCTGATTGTTTAGATACCCTTCTTCCGGGACCATATGAGAAAGAAGAGTAGAATTCAGCAATGTATGATCCAAATCAAGTACCAAATAAAGCTTCTTGCGGCACAACACACTCTTGGTATCAGTATCTCGCAATCGAGCAACTTCCGCATTCCCAATCAAAATTTCCTGCAAGTTCGGATTTTATTCAATTATCACACCAAGTGCAGAATATAAGAAAAGGGTACATGTAAGTTTGACTCAAGATATGATTGTTTCGACTAAGTTAGAACGTACACAACAGTCATTTACAGAAATGCATACCTTGTGTATGTTTGCAAATGATACCCCAGAAACCTCAACCTGTGCTCCGCAAACTATGCACATTTTACCAAAAGACCCTGGATGTGTACATTCATTCTTGCTGACAGATGCACTTGATGATGCCTCTGCAAAATACAAGATCAAAGGGCATAAACTGAGTTGCTGGACATTACGGTTTACAGCATTAAACAATTCACAGAAGCAAACAGATGCAGGGAAACGATAAACCATTACAAACTAAGACAACAAGGATCGACATTCTGTGGCAGAAGGGAAAAAAATGAGATGATGGTGAGCAGCAAGAAGTAAGCACATGCCTAGACATGACATTAACTACAAGATTCATAAGAGGCCGGGAACCTAATATGAAGTCAGAAGTTATATGCTTAGAATGTACCTAATTTCTGCTCCACGATCACATGAGAAGCTGACCCCTCAGCAGCATCTCCATTTTGCACTATCTCCACCTCTGAAATCTTTGTCCTGTATATGAATTGTCAAGTCATTTTCACTGGTCTGAACCCAAAACAAAATCCTAATTTTTCAGAGCGAATCAAGTAATCCGACAACATATATACACAGCTACATATGATTCTTCATCCTCTGTAGCTCAAACAAAACATACAATACGAAATAAGTGAGTAGAGGCAGATAGAGCAGCAAACAGAACTAGAACACCCAAGGAAGTCCACTAGTACCTCTTGCTTACAGGTTGGTCATCATCTTCGAATTCATCCTCGCTGGAAGAGGAGGATGAAGAACTAGAAGCAAACTCATCTTTAGCTTCTCCATTGTCGTCTTCATTATCAGATTCAGCATCAAGATGATCGTCAAGAAAATCAGCAAAATCATCACTGCCAGATGAGCTCACCGGAGAATCAGTCACAAGACTCATCTGCACCACAAAGGACCACCAACTCAAATACCATTCTCAAATACAGCAAAATCACAATGAAAAAACGGAATCCAGGTTTTGTAGTGCAACTGCAATTTCGTAACATAAGCTCCAAAGAAATCCACACAGCACATTAGCCACAAAGCCACCGACTAGCGAGTTTCACTACTCTTAAGTTCAAAACCGTCACTACAGAACATTCCCAAAAAAGCTTCGAGATCACGAGTCGACATATCAGAGCCGCACCACCGCCTAATTAGGTCAAGCTCTAAAGAAAACTATCAGGTCTAGTTCGCCTATTGCTAGAAAACGGAAAGAAGTTTCCGGAGGAACTGACCTGTATTGAGTTCAGAAAACCAGAACCTCTTGCTCGGAACTCTGATTCACGAAATAAATTAGTTCTCTCTCCTCCTTCTCGCCGGAGAAAAACGGTAGTTCCACAACTACAGAAATGCCAATTTCTAGCACGAAGGCGCGTTTTCTCTTATGGCTGATTCCGAATCCTGAAAGAGCGATAGAAGACGCAGCGCCGGTGTCGGAATATTCCGCCTCCGTCGAGGGAGTGACTGGTTAATAGGTTGAGTTAGGGTTGACGAAGAGACATTTGAGAGAAGCGCGAGCTCGGAAAACCGCCGCGGTGTCTGCGGGGGAAGAGAAAGGAGAGGGAGGGAGAGAGAACGGTTGTTCGCTTAGTGGAGAATTTTTCTGTTATTCCGTAACCAATAAAAAACCGCATGGGGTAGATATGGGCTGATACGTGGGCTGGGGAGTGACAAAACTGGATCGTCTTACGAGAAATGTCCATGGGCCTTTATTAATGGGCTGGCATGTTGGAAAAGAAGTTGGGCCATATATAGCCCAATACCAAAACAAACAAGTGGAATGAACAAGCAACAGCATGGAAATGGTAACAAATCGGAGGTAGGGTAACTTTTTATTAATCTTGTAGTAATGTAGCTTTTTTCACCCTAACTAGTATTTCTTTTTTACTTTACTATTTACTTCAAAATAATTGGGCCGGCGTCTCGGCCCAAAATCTTCCTCCTTCGCATCACCTACAATAACTTCTTCTTCGTTATCGTCATCACACTCCTCCCAATTCTCACTGTCTTGCGCCACACGTTGTTGGTAGTATCGAACAGCCACGAACATCATAAACACTGTAACAAAAAAAATCCAACAACGAGAATGTTATCTGTTTTACCCCGATCAGTTAAATCGAAAAAGACCGAAAGGTTCTTTTACGTACGTTCGACACTTACCAGCCCAAACACGAGCCACAATCGACGACATGTTCCACACCAAGGTGAAGATGCCCAATGCCACGGCCTTCTTGTGCGTGCACTTCTCCCACGCGTCGCGAAATCGTCGAATCCAGAACTTGGCTTCACGAGAGGGAAAACACGATCATTAGTCTCACCGATTTGATCTCCGATATTGTTCCAAAAACCAGAAAAGAAAGCAAATAATTTCTGCTGGCCTACAGGTGATTGATAAAAAAGGAGAAAATAAATAGGTAAGTGGTCACCACATCCACATCTACGTTCTTTCGTCATGAGTGCGACTGCACGGGTGACATCCATGCACTAACGGTATTGAATAATAGCTCTCTCGATTGGGAAACGTGGACAAGAGTAACTAGTGGACCGACAGTAAACAGTAAAAAAACTAAAAAGATTAGGAGGAAAGTAATTTTTTGTTTTTTTTACCGTAAGAGGTTAACTGGCTGGAGTACGACGAGCAGACTTTTGGCAGTATGAAAACCCCGAAAAATCCTGTGCATCCCAATTGCAGCGCAGCCACGTGTTAGGTAAAAAAAGTCAAAAATACTTGACATTAACAAAATTGAAAATACCTCACCAAAGGTTATATAGAAAGGAAGGTAAAGGTTAAAAAAAGTTACCCAATTTGGCCATTTTCCAGATGGTAATGTAGCCGCCACACCTGGCAAGAACGAACAGCAGGACTGCCAACTGCCACCAGCAATTTGACGTGTAAGTAAAAAAGGCTCACTCACATCAATCATCACTGTAAGATTGTACATTTTGTACTCTTTTCTCCGGTAAAAAAACAGGACATTTACTGTTTTACTGTTTTACCTTCATGGTGGTGGAAGGATCGCCGGAAAAGAGGGCTTTGATTCTGAGCAGGCACTCGTTCAGGTACGGCAGAACTAACTTCACCACACAGATTGCCTCCCCTTCGCCAACCACGTAGCTCCCGGTGTCCTCATAACCATCATCTCCCTCCACAATTCCCCTGTAACAGCAAAAAATTTCACCACTGTAAAAAAAACTAGAGATACATTCAACCTACAATGATCTGGATGAGTGTGTTCGTCGATGATCAGGCTTGACGAGACCTAACCGATTACTCGAACTGGCACGGAGTAGAGTTACTCAACCTGAACCTACTAGGTTGCCAAACTCTGGCTCTACCGACAATTCTGGATGAACCTAAAATTTTGATCTTTTTCCCCCAAATTACCTGGAAATAAGGGTTCTGTAGAGGAAGATTGCAGCGAGGTAAACCAGCCCCAGATAAGACATCACAGAAATGAAGCTGTGTGATGGGAAAAAAAGAACAGAGGGTTATTAAAAAAATGGGTACTCTGTTTCCTTGGTAAAAAACAGAGGTAAAAGGAATTGAATTTGGGATGTGGTGAATTACCTGATGTTGAGATCCTGCGTGTAGGAAGATGAGATTATGGTGAACGTTCCGATTCCAAACACGAATGCCGATCTCGACACGTCTCTCCACATCACTAAATCCACTGCAGAAGAGGGAAAAGAAACGAATTTTCCCGAGAAAATGTTAGTAAGAGACGAATTTCGTGCCGAGGGAGAGATTGGGGATGGTTGTGGATAAGGGATCTGACCCAGATTCTGGAGCTTGCTTTGCCTTCTTGGGTAACTCCTGGATTGAGCTGGGGATGGAGCTGAAACGGAAAAGAAAGACGCTTTGTGAAAATTTTGAAAAGTTTAGGGAGAATTTTTTGCAGGTGCTCTGTTTTCGTGATTCTACCTGGAGTAGGAGTGGGTTTAGTGAAGTTCTGGTAAGCTGCAGCTCTTCTCATCACCGGCGGCGTCTGTTTGTTCACGGTGGGCGGAGCCGGCGGTGGAGCTCTGTTGTGAAACTGACGATGAACAACTCCTTTCGTCGGCTTCTGCTCAGGAATCGGGATTTTCTTCTCTTCGAATTTCTTCTCTTTTGGCTTCTCGTGTTCTTGAACATTAATCTCCTTAACATCGAAGCTCTTCTTCTCAATTTCCTCGTCCGTCTCTTCTTCTTCTTCGAATTCCTCCTCCTCCTCTTCTTCTTCAAAGTCCTGATCACCGTCGGCGCGATCGTCTTCTACGGTCGCAGAAGAAACCACCTTCTCTTCACAAACGCCAAACTCCCTGCAACTCTCCTCTGTTTCCTCAATTTCAGATGGCTTCTTCTCAATTTGACAAACAGATTCGTCCAATTCCTTCTCAGGCACTGATTTCTCCTCCTTCGTTTCACCATCGCTCTTCTCAACACCACCACCGACCTTCGATTCCAGTTTCACCGGCGAATTCTCAACTTCTTTCCCAGAATTTCCAGCGGATCTCAGCTTCCCAATCTGAATCGTGGAAACAACTCCTACTACTTCAGATCTTCCCTTCTTGCTCACCTGAACCGGACTCCTCGCAATTCCCTCGCTGCTCGCTTCAGATCTCAACTTCCTCCCCTGAATCGGCGATTTCTTGACTCCATCGGCCGACGCACTCAACCGAATTGGGCCGTCGAAGCTCTCCGATTTCCACGTCTTCCTCTTCCCACTGCTCGCCACCGTCCCCGTGGCGAGGTTCCTGGGCGACCTCCTCGGCGTCGCTGCCACCGTTACCGCCGGCGGCGGTTCGGGATTCTCGTCGTCGTCGGCATTGAAGACCTTGAACCCGCCTTTGACTTCATCGAGCTTCATTCTGCTCTCCCAAACAGAGCCAGCTGCCACAATCACACTACTGGGTTTGTTGTTATTATTGTTAACCAACCCTGCTGCCGCAGCAGCAGCAGGTACTGATCTTCTCCTTCCACTGACCTCCATTTTCTTTTACCTTTTCCCCCCCACTTTTGTTGAGTCTTCTGGGTAATTGAGTGCTGGCCTAGTAGGAGGACATGGTGGAGCAAAATTGAGTGGCAATAATGGAGAGAGAGGACAGAGAAACGTTAAGGTGAAGGAATGGCGGTTGGTGGTAGTACTGGAGAAGGAAGGGTACTAGTAATGAGAAGAGGAAAGCAGAAGCAGCATTGGGATCCTTCTTGAAAGCAGAGAGAGGAAGAAGAAGAAGGTGAAGAAAGAAAAGGGTATGAATTGTCGGGTCGGGTACGGGGTCGGTGGTGGGTTGGGTGTGTCTGTTTCCTTAGTATTACTATTCTCCCTTTCTTTTCTTTTGCTTTGTTTTTTGGCGTTTTGCTTCTTATTGTTCATTTATTTATCGACGCAAAGGCAAAGTAGAGTCCTTTAAAGTCCCATAACGGGCAACTTATCACACACACGACCCACCTTTAGTGTTTGATAGACCATTTCACGGGTCGAATCATTGTTACGATACGATTTCAAAACTGAATTACATAGTGAATTGGTTTGTCATATATAGGTTGAGAAGACTCTCTCTTAGTGTCTCTTATGAAGGTTTTATTTTGGAAATGTAAACTATTAACGTATATGTGACTTGATGTCGGTATATGACGAATAATAAAGTGGTAGTATAAAAAGAAACAAAAAAGATTCAAAACGATGAAGATGCAGAACATTGTTTGAGGATGAGAGTTTACCTACCGAGCTTTTATTGAACGTCTCAAATCTCTTCAAAATTCTATCCGATCCTCTTGTCTTTTTTCCCCCGGTCTTGAGAATGCTATGTATGAATATGCTCGTTGAAGGAAAATATATACGACCAGCTCGTCCTCAGGCCTAATATCTCTCTCCTTCCCCCATGTCGAACCAACTACAAAGTTGACCGGATTGTTAAACATGTTTCAAATGGGACACTCTCGGTGAGAAGAATCACATAATTTAGATCTCGTTCAAGTGTACATGAGATCATCTTTTCTTGTACTACAAATCTACAATTCTACAATCAATGCAATTACATCTAACCGAAAGAAATTATACAACGTAGTACTAACGACCGTTCGAGACTTGAACACACATAGATCACATTATTGTTTTTAATGACACCAACTAGATGTTATCTTTCTACCCCAAAAAAAAAACTAGATGTTATCCAAAAGCCTACTACTAGAACTTGCAGTAAATTATCCATCTCCCTACCATATTCTCTAACCCTCACTCAGTGTAAAAAAAAAAGTTAACAAAAGCAAACCACTTTATACTTTAATGATTTAGGAGGACTTTTTAAGGTAGCTTTTGCTCTTTTCATCTCGTGGTAATTTTTTTATGGGATTGTTATCATTCTTCTTTCTTTATTTACCGTCGAGGTAAGGGTACTCAATTATATGCCCTTGTTACTTTCAGGACACTTTTATTTATCAAGGGCACAGTGACCTAGGAAGAGGCCGAGGCGCCAACCCCATCTAGAATAGAAGGAAAAAAAAGTCATTGGCTTCACATGCAAATGTAGACGACAACAGTAAGTTCCCTCTTCCCTTTTGGTTCCTAAGAAAAATAATGAAGGGCGTATTATATGAATCGTGTGACAGAAATAAGGATTCGGTCGACCTCATATAGGATCAGGTCGACCTAATCTGTTGTTTCAGTGTAAAAACAGTTCATGGTGCCTACTTTGGATATTCATATCATACAATTGGCTAGATGGAAATTGAAGACTAATGACTTGTTTTGAAGCTGGAGTGTCCCTCTACATATTGAAGTGATTAAAAGCTCGATATGAAGTGTAGAAGACCATTTTTGAACCTCATCAAAAGGCTATGCCAAAACTGGGAAACTGCCTGAAAATGGCAAGTCTGGAAACGTGTTTGTGAAGCCTATTTTTGAGCTCAATTCGAGAAGCATGAATGCGAGTCGAGTCCAGGAGCCTCTACCACGTTAAATTAGGTATGTTTTTATACAAATTCAAGGCATTTATGAAAGATTGGATATCTGTAAGGCTTCAAACAAAAGGGTCGAAGTTGCTACGAAGGCTGTTTTTTTGGCAGACTTCGAGCACAAGCAAGCTGCCAGAAAAACAGCCTTCGTAGCAACTTCGAGCCTTTTGTTTGAAGCCTTAAAGATATTCAATTTTTCATCCAATGCCTTGCCTTTGTATAAAAAAATACGTAATTTAACGTGGTAGAGGCCTCTGGACTTGATTCGCATCCATGCTTCTCAAATTGAGCTCCAAAGTAGGCTTGACAAACACGTTGCCAGACTTAGCCATTTTCAGGCAGTTTCTCAGTTTTGGCATAGCCTTTTGGTCAGGTTAAAAAATGGTCTTCTGGACTTTCCATTGAGCTCCCAAGTACTTTAATGTGTAGAGGGACACTTCAGCTTAAAAACAAGTCTTTAATCTCCAATTTCCATCTAGCCAATTGTAAGATATGAATATCCAAAGTAGGCACCATGAAACTGTTTTTACACTGAAACAACAGATTAGGTCGACCTGATCCTATATGAGGTCGACCGAAAAGTGCATGTCACCGTGACATGCATGTCATCGTAGCAAAGTCCCAGTATGTATAGTTTACCAAAATTGGTTTTACATACGGGTAATTGATCATTTTCGTGTCACAAATTCGATTTGGTAACTAAAAGGTCACAAACATTTCAAAAGTAGCAAACGGGCGCAAAATATTTTCACTGATTACCATATCACAATGATTTCCTTTTTTTTTTAAGGAACATATCACTATGATTTCTTTATGCAATATTGTAATGGGTTGTTTTTTTTTTTTTTGTTAATGTGCCCTTATTTTATGCTATCAACACTCACTTTCACATCATTCACAAAAAATTACATTTTACCTGAATTGCACGAACATAGGGATTTGCAGTGTTAGGTATTGCCAAATATAATAATGTCAGAAAAATAGCATTGGAAATTGGGGTTTGAGGAATTATATGAGGGAGAACTCAGGTCTCTCTGCCTCTCTCCACAGTTCGTCCCGTGTAAGGCAACCTGCCAAAGAGTACTGTCTACAAACAAATTCATTGGAATTTTACACCATATGTAGCAAAAAGGAGAACAGATCTTTCATGCAGAGTGTGATAAGCCAATAATAGTACTGTTACATGTTGGCTCCTCCATCGGTCCATGATTCCCAAATCAAGGCATTATTAGTGGTAGGTGGTAACAAGTTAACAACACCCGCTCGATTTACGCAGCGCAGTACCGTCATATTTTAGTAACCGATATGAGTGGTCATCATATGAACTGGTAGAGAAAGTAGGTTACTGTGAGAAACACATTTATTTGGGGTTTCTATTATTATATTAGGTATGATAATTATAATTATGGTTAGTAAAGATTTAGTCGTATTAGGATTATTATTAGGGTTTTTCAGTATTTCCTATAAATATGTACTTTGGGTTTACGTCATAATCAGTCAACCAGAATATTAAGAACAGTCTTCTAAACCCTAGTTTATCCCCTCAACTCCTAATTTCTATTCTCTCCCAATCCAAGGCATCGGCCGATTCCCAATTCTATTCTTTCTCATCTAAATCCCTAATTCCCTAATCTCAACCCTAAATCCCTAATCGTCACGAGAGTTGCGGGTGCCGAAGATCAGTATCGAGAATCCCTAGAAGCGGGGTTCTCATAGTGGTATCAGAGCCCGGTTGTGGCACTCGTACCATGGTTTCGACCAACTTCGAGCTCTCAGTCAAAGAACTCACAAAGCTTTTGAAGTTGAAGCTGGAAGGGGTGAGGAGGAACGAGGTGACCTCGTCCTTACCACTGTCCGGGAACATCACGAGGGCAGCTCCACCCAAAGCCGCAAACGTCGTGTCGAAGGAGCCGATGAGGGAAGACTCGCCATCATTGTCGAAGGTCGCAGTTGCAGAAATAGATTTCGAAGATTGGTTGGAGCTCCCAACCCAGCCGACGTTGATGCTAATCTCGGGAGCAAGCTGGGAGCCACCAGCCACGAAAGAGGGTCCAACTCCACCAACGGTGGTCGGAGGAGAAGGCCGGACGACCGAGAGCTCCGCCAAAGAAGAGCGAGTTGCCGAAGGTATTGAGCAGCCGAAACTTTCGGAGATCACCACTACGCTATCATCTCCAAAAGAGGAAACTCTAATGGCGGCAAGGGATCAACCAAACATCCAAGTCTCGTCCGCTGCCGGTAATTCAATCTTGGTCCTTGAGTCGTTCCAACTCCGAGAACAGGGTTCGTTGCGGTGGAAGAAGACAGATGGGGTGGAGGAAAGGGTAACGCGTGGTCTTGCCATGAATTGGGGATTCTGCAAGAAGAAGGGCACGAGAGCACCTCTCCCAGCGAACAGCGACGTGGTGGGGAAGTCCCAGAACTCTGGGACCAGGAGTTCGGAGATCTACCTGACGAGGGAGCCTTGCAACAGCAGCCATCGTCGCTACGAGGCAACAAAGGCATTAGGTAGCCGGGTTGACTCGCGACAGTCGCGAATCGCAGCAGGGAAGCAGCGATTGACGGCGTCGTCCATTGGGTCATCAACCGGAGAGGACGAGTCGTCGAAGACGGCGTTGAGAGCAGGCGAATCTCTTCTCCGGAGGATCTGGTTGCCGACGAGGAACGATGAGAGTGAGGGCAATGACTTCACTCTTTCTCCTGAATCGACGATCGGCGACGTGATGAGGCTGGAGATGAGAAGCGCGGCATGGGAGCTCCCTCCGAGCCGTCTGATGATCTCGTCGCCGGAGACCAAGGCAAAGAGAGCGCAGTCGGAGGAGGAGGCGACGAAGAGCTCGACGCCGGGGGTTGAGCCGGAGAATGAGAGGAAGAAGAAGTCGATCGACGCAGAGGCGAAGCGGAATGCGGCGGCGCGGTTGACTGAAGCTTCCTTAGCGACGTTGATCATCGAGAAGGCGACATCGAAGAAGAATCCTCCGCAGGAAAACGAGACGGAGTGGAAGGCGGCGGTGGATTCATGGAGGCCACCGTGCCGTCAGATGGGTTGCGCGTCGTGGAAGAGGACGGTGCCGGATTCGTGGCCACCTGGAAATCGGCGGCATTGGGAGCTGGCGGAGAAGGACTCGAAGGAGAAGGAAGGCGGCGACAGTTTCCCTTCTCCAGGAACCCTAAGTCGCGCCACCAAGCGTCTAGAACCATTGGGCCAAGCTGTGGTTCGGGTCGCTGGGCTCGAGTTGGGCGGATCGACTCTCGGTCGAAGAAGTCTGAACTCGCCTTGGGCCGGCTAGAATAGGGGATCGGGCCGAAATCTGAGCATAGTGGGCAATGTCTGGATAGAGGAATGAAGC